TATGGAGGTTTGTGCTTCACTATTTCAGCATGCGGCAGATTTCAAACACATGCGTCATTTATTTAAAAAAAAAAGAACTTGTCGCAACACCATCTCTAGATATTAGGTTGGTGCAAAAAAAAATGACGTAATAATGTCGTTTTTTAACGTCAAAAAACAACATTATTACGTCATTATTTTTGCACCAACCTAATAGATTAATAACCACAGCTAAAGAGCTCTTATCTGCCCATTAGTTTTGGACTTGTGTCGACATACTACCACAGCTATCGATATATATATTTTTAATCTGTCTATATTTCTGAGATGAGGTATTATGTAGAGTATTTACATTATTCGGAGTATTGTCCTCATCATGTCGCCATATTTATTACAACGTTTCGGCCCTTCAGTATCTGTCTATATTTCTGAGATGAGGTATTATGTACACTATTTACATTATTCGGACTATTGTCCTCATCTTTGTCGCCATATTTATTACAACGTTTCGGCCCTTTAGTATCTGTCTATATTTCTGAGATGAGGTATTATGTACACAATTTTCATTATTCGGACTATTGTCCTCATCTTTGTCGCCATATTTATTACAACGTTTCGGCCCTTCAGTATCTGTCTATATTTCTGAGATGAGGTATTATGTAGAATATTTACATTATTCGGACTATTGTCCTCATCTTTGTCGCCATATTTATTACAACGTTTCGGCCTTTCAGTATCTGTCTATATTTCTGAGATGAGGTATTATGTACACTATTTACATTATTCGACTATTGTCCTCATCTTTGTCGCCATATTTATTACAACGTTTCGGCCCTTTAGTATCTGTCTATATTTCTGAGATGAGGTATTATGTACATTATTTACATTATTCGGACTATTGTCCTCATCTTTGTCGCCATATTTATTACAACGTTTCGGCCTTTCAGTATCTGTCTATATTTCTGAGATGAGGTATTATGTAGAATATTTACATTATTCGGACTATTGTCCTCATCTTTGTCGCCATATTTATTACAACGTTTCGGCCCTTCAGTATCTGTCTATATTTCTGAGATGAGGTATTATGTACACTATTTACATTATTCGGACTATTGTCCTCATCTTTGTCGCCATATTTATTACAACGTTTCGGCCCTTCAGTATCTGTCTATATTTCTGAGATGAGGTATTATGTACACTATTTACATTATTCGGACTATTGACCACATCTTTGTCGCCATATTTATTACACTCCGGCCTTCTTTTAGAATGTCGAACTGAACCCTTTATTTCGCTCACTGGGGTAGACTGTTCTAGTTCCACGTGCCATGTTTAATGGATGTCAGTTATCAGTAATCTCCTGTTAATTTTCCGAAAGTTCTCCACTGCCTTAACCGGGTATTGAACTCACACTCTTTGGGTCCTGTCAATGGATCTAACCAACGTCTTTATCCACTGTGCCATGTGTCCTTGAGGAACAGTCTACCCCAGTGAGCGAAATAAAGGGTTCAGTTCGACATTCCAACCACCTGAAGAAGGCCGGAGCGTACAATGGCCGAAACGTTGTAATAAATATGGCGACAAAGATGAGGAAAATAGTCCGAATAATGTAAATAATATTTTTAATCATTCATCCCAAGCAAGGCAATAAAGCTACTAAGACACAAGTGGGTTACTGAATGTAAAAGAATATGAGAAAAACAAAAGCTTTATTAAGGATAGGGGACAATAAAAGAACGGAAATTTAGAAGACATAAGAAAACGGTTGGTACTTAAAATTTTGAAGATCAAAGTTGACTGAAAATTAAGAAGCCGGAAGAGAGTTCCACCAGCAAGAAGTGCAAGAGAAGAAACCGCTAGCATAGAACTAACAAATTTCATCTGTAAAATGATAAGACCTAACTGACAGTCTAGTACTGCGCTCAAGTTTGTAAAGTCTAGGTACCAAAGAGACAAGCGCAACAGATCATTTATCATTAAAATAATTTTAGAAAAGACTCGAGGAAGCTACGTTACGATGGTGAGAAATTGACTGATGCCGAGGTGCCAGGGCAGGTCCGCTAATAATGCTGATTCTTGGCATTCTAAATGCATGGCAGAATTACCAGATCAGATGTGACAGCAGTGTTCAGTGCATAGACGAATGGTTGACTTATAAATATAGATTCTGGATAGAAAAATTGTCTAGCAGGAAACCAACTTTCCTTGCAGCAGACCTAGCAATTAATTCAATATAATCTTTTCATTTCATGTCAGCGTGAAACGTTAGCCCGATGAATCATTCTACTGGAGATTAGCATCAGCCATAGTGATGAAAGGTAGAAAAAATGTATTCCGAGCAGTTACCCGTCCTGGGTATGACGATAAACTACATCCGCGTCCTGGGTAAGACAATAAAATACGTCCCAGCAACAAGGCCTCTGATCAGGTTTTGAGGAGCGTGGAACCACCTCTTAATTGCCGGTGTTCCCGGGTCCACCCTGACCTGGGGTGGTAGCACCTGTTAGGGTCCCAGCTATGAGCAAATAGTTAAAAATGGGTAAAAATTGGTTTAATACCAAGAATACATTGTAAAAAAAAATTATCAGCAATAAATTTTTGAAGAAAAAATTTACTACCAGCAAAACATTTTTGAAGAAAAAATTATTACCAGAAATAGATTTTTTGCAAAACAAAATATTACCAGCAATAAAAATTTTGTCGGCATTAAATAAACCTTTGAAGATTATATGCCGTAAAACACACCAAACCAAACAAAATCTCCTACAAACTGATTTCTTACAAAGAATATATTCATACGAACCTATCCCAAAAAATCTTTTCTGCATTAAATAACCCATTGAGGTGTTGATATGCCGCTAAACAACATCAAGAAACAATCAACAAACTAATGCAACCCTCTTCACAAAAATATGTCAATGAAACCTGGCCTACAAATTGATTTCTTACAAAGAATACATATTCTATTCATACGGATCTATCCTAAAAATGTTGTCGGCATTAAATAACCTATTGAGGTTGATATGCCGTAAAACAAAATAAACCAAACCAATCTAAACCAAAGAATACATATTCTATTCATACGAATCTATCCTAAAAATCTTATCGGCATTAAATAACCCATTGAGGTTGATATGCCGTTAAACAAAATAAACCCAACCAATCTAAACCAAAGAATACATATCCTATTCACAAGAATCTATCCTAAAAATCTTATCGGCATTAAATAACCCATTGAGGTTGATATGCCATAAAACAAAATAAACCAAACCAATCTAAACCAAAGAATACATATTCTATTCATACGAATCTATCCTAAAAATCTTATCGGCATTAAATAACCCATTGAGGTTGATATGCCGTAAAACAAAATAAACCAAACCAAACCGAGCAGTTTCGTTCGGAAAATAATGTCCGATTTTAGAATCAACTTGTATGCTTGAATTAATGCATTTAAAGTGTATAAACCAGTCAAAATAGAATCACTGAGCATCTATACATTTCTACCATTGATTTACACGATTATTTATTCTTTCAAGATAAAAAGTTCAAGTTTTCGAGGCCAAAGAATTTTTGAATGCAGTTTCTACATCTTTGGTTTAAAAAAAGATGCTTGAAAAAGTGTTAGTCCGTGGTGGGGGAGATCGAGGGAATATGGCGGATGTGGCAAAGTCTTGTATCCCAAGTCGATGAGCTTCTGCAGTGAATTCCTGACAATTGGCCGAACATTGTCCAGGAAGCGGAATTGTTCGTTTTCGATTAACTAGTGCCAGTTGTATTTTGCTTAACTGAATGTGCAATTCATCCACTTGCTGTCATCAAACTTCGGCAGTGAAAGAAAGAAAGAAAGAAAGAAAGAAAGAAAGAAAGAAAGAAAGAAAGGTGAACCGTTTAATAAAAGACGTCTTGAAAAATTTTTAGAAAGAAAATCTTATCAAGAAATAACGGTAAAATTATAATATATGCAATAGGAAAAGAAAGAAAGAAAGAAAGAAAGAGACGAACGGTGTAATAAAACCCTTCTTGAAAACCTGAAAATCAAATTTGAAAGAAAGAAAAAAAGAAAGAAAGAAAGAAAAAAAGAAAGAAAGAATGAAAAAAGGAGAACCGTATAATAAAACACGTCTTGAAAAAGAAGAAAGAAAGAACATCAAGAAAGAACGGTAAAATTATAACATATGCGATAGGAAAAGAAAGAAAGAAAGAAAGAAAGAAAGGTAATGCGATAGGAAAAGAAAGAAATAAAGAAATAAAGAAGGGTAATGCGATAAGAAAGAAAGAAAGAAAGAAAGAGAGAAAGGTAATGCAATAGGTAAAGAAAGAAAGAAAGAAAGAAAGAAAGAAAGAAATAAAGAAATAAAGAACGGTAATGCAATAGGAAAAGAAAGAAATAAAGAAATAAAGAAGGGTAATGCGATAAGAAAGAAAGAAAGAAAGAAAGAAAGAGAGAAAGGTAATGCAATAAGAAAGAAAGAAAGAAAGAAAGAAAAGAAGGAAGAATGAAAAGATGTAAAAAAGAAGACATATATTTAGATATAGGAAGCAAGTAATAAAGAAATTTAAGCAGTACAAGAAAAAAACAGAAAAGAAAGAGAGGTAATTCAATAGGTAAAGAAAAAAGAAAGAAAGAAAGAAAAAGAAAGAAAGAAAGAAAGAATGAAAGAAAGTTGAACAGTGTAATAAAATCCTTCTTAAAAACCTGGAAATCAAATTTGAAAGAAAGAAAGAAAGAAAGAAAGAAAGAATGTATTAGGTTGGTGCAAAAATAATGACGTAATAATGTCGTTTTTTGACGTATTTTTAAGGTCAAAAAACGACATTATTACGTCATTATTTTTCCACCAACCTAAGAATAAAAGAAGACATATACTTAGATATAGGAAGCAAGTAATAAAGAAATTTAAGCAGTAAAAGGAAAAAAATAACCTGAATTGCAAGAAGCAAACGACAACTGTGAATTCAAATCCAGGCGCCAAATCACTGAACAGTCCATGTTAAAATCATTTTCGAATGGCAGGCATATGACGACTTTTTTAGTTATTCAAGATGGCGGCTTGCTGAGAAAGTATCATATTAAAGTTTAAAACGAAAATTCAGTCATTTAGAAAAAGGCAAGGCCAGGAAATGTAACAAGAAAAAAAGTCGCTAATTACAGCGAAGAAGTGTAATTTAGACAATTAGTAATGGGTCTGCTGATTTCTGTACGAATTTAATGACAACTCTTGCCAAAGAAATGGGAACTACACTCCTTTTTCTCTCTATTGCTCTTTCTCTCTGCGCCTTCGTTGTCTTTCTTTGATTTATTTGCTATGTAATCTAACCCATCACCTTCTCCCCACCGGCCACTCTCTCTCTCTCTCCCTCTCTCTCTCTCTCTCTCTATCTATCTATCTATCTATCTATCTATCTATCTATCTATCTATCTATCTATTTCGTTGTTCATTTCCCTTCGTCTATCTCCAACACTCCCTCCTACATTTACTCGCTTTCCACTTCCAATTATTAAATTCTCCTCTTTCTATTCGTTTCTCTCTATCGCGATTTCTCACTCTTTGTTTGTCCTTCTCTATCCATGTTGCTTTCTCTCTTTCTCTAACTGCCATTCCCTTTTTTTCAATATCCATTTGCCTCGCCTTCCTCTATGTCTGTTTGTATCTCTCTTTCTCTTTTCTCTCTCTCTCTCTCTCTCTCTCTCTGTGTCTCTCTATCTCCTCATATGCATCTCTCATTCTCTCTTTATTTTTCGTCACACTGCTTATATATGCCTTTCTCTCTCCTCTTTTCATTCATCTGCCATTTTCTTTCTGTCCTCCTACTCCATTTCTTTCTCTGCTTTTCTTTTCTTTCTTTCTTTCCTGATTTCCGGCTTTCTTTCATTATTTCTTTCTTTCTTTCATTCTTTCTGTTTTTCTTTTCTTATTCTTCATTTTTTCTTTCCTTCTTTCTTTCAGTCCTTCTTTCTTCCCTTCTTACTTTCCTTCCTTCTTTCCGTCTTTTTTTCTTTCCTTTTGTCCTTACTTCTTTCTTTCTTTCTTTCTTTCTTTTCCTTCTTCTTTTCTTTCTTTCTCTTCTTTCCTTATTTTTTTCTTTCTTTACTTCCTTCTTTCCTTTTTCTTTCTGTCCTTCTTTTCCCATTTCTTAATTTCTTTCTTACTTTCTGTCTCTTTTTCTTTTCTTTTCTTTTCTTTCTTTCTTCCACTACTTCTAATTTTACTCGCTTTTCTCCTTATTCATTCTCCTCGTCATTTAATTCCTCTCTCTCTCTCCCTCTTTATTTGCTTCTCTCACTTTCTCTCCGGGTACTTCTCTATATTTTGTTTTCCTCTCTCTCTCTCTCTCTCTCTCTCTTCTTCTTCTTCTTCTTCTTCTTCTTCTTCTTCTTCTTCTTCTCTCTAACTGCCTCTCCCTCTATTCCTCTGTCTATCTATGTCTCTTTTTATCACTCGGCCCGCCTTTCTATTCCTATCTGTCCTTCTCTCCCTTTTCGCCATCTACCTTCCTCACTTGTTCCCTCTCTTCCTCTCCCCACCTCTCTATCTATCTATATATCTATCTCTTTCTCTGTTTGATTCGTTCTTTTTGTCTTCATCCCATCTAACCGTCTTTCTTTCTATGTTTTTCTCTCTCTTTTATTTCTATCTCTCTTCATCTATGTTTGCTTCTCTCTCTCTCCTTTAACCTTTCACTCTCTCTCTCTCTCTCTCTCTCTCTTTTCTCTCTCTTTATCCTTTTAAAACACTTTTATTCTTCCTTGATTATCACTGACGTCTGTTCGATCTTTGTCGCTATGAACAAGCCACACCCCTCTGTCTCTGTATCTCATTAATTCACTCTTTCCCTCCGTTTATTTATTTTCTCTTTTCTCTCTCCCCATTCGCTCTCTCTCTCACACCCACTCTCTCTCTCATCTTCTCTCTCTCTCTCTCTCTCTCACACACACACACACACACACACACACACACACACACACACACACGCACACTGACTTTCTTTCTTCTTCCTCTTCTACTGTCTTTTGTTTTCATCTCTTTCTCTATCCGTTGCTCTGTAGATTGTGGGTGCGTCACCCAATGGTTAGAGCGATAATATTTATTGTACAAATGTGGCACAAGGCCAAAAAATGGGGAAAAGGTGAAAAAGATGGTCATATTCTGTCTTAACATTAAACTTAGCTAGCCACAAACACTGACCCAAACATACAAACAATATTCCTTTCACCAAAACAAATCATTCTTACTTACCATTCTTACTACATTCACCATAATACCACATTGTCTCTATGAAAGTCCTAACTAGTCCTCATATATACAATTCATTGTTTGGGGGAGGGGGGGAGTAATAAAATAACAATTAAAAAATCTAAAAGCCCCAATGAGTATTTACAAATGTGTACAAAACTATATACAAGAAACTAAACAAAATTGTGTTAGTAATAAAAATCCCCACAAGCCCTAACTGTGGCAGTAACATCAGTTAACTGGACGAAATCAATATAAACATCCTAATGGTTAGAGCGATAGCTTTCTAACCTTCAGATCCGAGTTTAAATCTCCTCGTAGACGATTTGACAAGGTGACATTTGCACAATAACAAACAGAGGAGACGACGGCACCAATGGGAGGTAACTGAAAACTATACCCCACGGGTAGACCCAAACTATACCCCACGGGTTGACCCAAACTATACCCCACGGGTAGACCCAAACTATACCCCACGGGTTGACACAAACTATACCCCACGAGTAGACCCAAACACTTGTGAGTGGAATTGGAAGTGACGGAAAAGTTCAAAAATGATTCAGAGTTGTGATCTATGAATAGTTATGATTCCAATCAAGCACTAGCCAGTGAATCGGGTTTTGGCATAAAATGACCCACCTAGATATTGATATGCCGTTAAAGAAACCAACCTTACTCACGCTCTCTCAGTCTGTCACTCGCTTTCTATTTTACGAATTTACTCCGGATCAATTTCCTTATATTATCTTCAAAGATGCCCTCTCTCTCAATTTTTTTTTTTTTTTTTTGGTGGGGGCGAGGTGTTCATTCTACAGTAGAACTTCGGTTCACGAATTTAATTCGTTCCTGAAGGCTGTTCGTAACCCGAAATGTTCGGAAACGGAAACTTTTTTTCCAATAGGAATCAATGTAGAGAAAAAAGTCACAGTACAATAAAATTAGTAAAGAAAACCACGGCACAACACACGAATGTATAGGACACGGCGGTCCACTCAAAAATGATTCCGTTCCCGGTTAACTCGGATCGGATCCGTTAGGCAATGTTGTTCGAGAACCGAAATTTTGTTCGATAATTTCATCTCGAATTTTCCGTTCGAAAACGGATTTGGTCGACATGTGAGACGTTCGAGAACCGAGGTTGCTTTGTATTTCTGTTTTTACTGCTTTGTTATATGTCGGGTTCACTCTCTTTTATTTCCTAATCCACTTCTCTCTTTCTCTCTCTATCTCTTTCTTTCTCTCTTTCTATCTCTTTCTTTCTTTCTCTCTCTCTCTCTCTCTCTATGTCTTTCTTTCTCTCTCTCTATCTCTTTCTTTCTCTCTCTCTCTATCTCTTTCTTTCTCTTTCTATCTCTTTCTTTCTCTCTCTTTCTTCCTCTCTCTACCTCTTTCTTTCTCTATCTCTTTCTCTATCTTTTTTCTTTCTCTCTCTCTCTCTCTCTCTCTTTCTTTCTCTCTCTCTATCTCTTTCTTTCTCTCTCTCTCTCTCTATCTCTTTCTTTCTCTCTCTCTATCTCTTTCTTTCTCTATTTCTTTCTTTCTCTCTCTCTCTCTCTATCTATTTCTTTCTCTCTCTTTCTTCCTCTCTCTCTATCTCTTTCTTTCTATATCTCTTTATTTCTCTCTCTATATCCCTTTCTTTCTCTCTCTCTCTTTTTTTCTCTATCTCTTTCTTTCTCTCTCTCAATCTCTTTCTTTCTCTCTCTCTCTCTATCTCTTTCTTTCTCTATCTCTTTCTTTTCTTACTCTATCTCTTTCTTTCTCTCTCTCTTTCTTCCTCTCTCTCTATCTCTTTCTTTCTCTATATCTTTCTCTATCTCTCTATCTCTTTCTTTCTCTCTCTCTATCTCTTTCTTTCTCTATTTCTTCCTTTTTCTCTCTCTCTCTCTCTCTCTATTTCTTCCTCTCTCTTTCTTCCTCCCTCTCTATCTCTTTCTTTCTATATCTCTTTATTTCTCTCTCTCTATCCCTTTCTTTCTCTCTCTCTCTTTCTTTCTCTATCTCTTTCTTTCTCTCTCTCTCTCTCTCTATCTCTTTCTTTCTCTCTCTTTCTTCCTCTCTCTCTATCTCTTTCTTTCTCTATCTCTTTTTTCTCTCTCTCTCTATCTCTTTCTTTTTCTCTCTCTCTCTTTCTTTCTCTCTCTCTCTTTCTTTCTCTCTCTTTCTTCCTCTCTCTCTATCTCTTTCTTCCTCTCTCTCTCTCTCTCTCTGTTTCTCTCTCTCTCTTCATTTTGACTTTTTCCAATATTTATTTTCGTGTTTTGTCCCGACCTCATCTTCTCACCTTTGGCTAAGAGCCATCCTTTCTCTCTCTTGCTCTCTCTCTCTCTCTCTCTCTCTCTCTCTCTCTCTCTCTATCTATCTATCTATCTATCTATCTATCTATTTATCTTTCACACACACACACACACACATTCTTATTCCCTTCCTAGCTACCGTTTTTCTCGCTCTCTCACGTGTTATCAGTCTACTCGCTCTCTCTTCATTTTCATTTTTTCCGGGTAGTGACAGGACCCAAAGCGTGTGAGTTCAATACCCGGTTAAGGTAGTGGAGAACTAGGAGAGGTGAATTAACAGGAGATAAGTGATAACTGACATCCATTAAACATGGCAGGTGGAACTAGAACCGACTACCCCACCAGTGAGCGAAATAAACGGTTCAGTTCGACATTTCAACCACCTGACGAAACGTTGTTATAAATATGGCGACAAAGATGAGGATAATAGTCCGAATAATGTAAATAGTGTAGTTTAACTTAATCAAGTAAAATGACAAATAGAGTTGAGAAATAAATACTACGGGATGCCCCACAAAAAAAAACAAAAAAAAACAGGAAAATTGGTAAAGTTTATGCTATTGTTGGAATTTTTGTTACAGTTAAGAACGCGTTAAGCAAACCTTTTAAGTGGGAGTGGGGGCTGCCTACTTATGTACAAAATAAGCCTTGAGATCTGTTATCTTTTTTTTTATTTTTCATATTTACCTGAACTCAAACGCCGACCTTTCGCAAAGATAGAAAGTACATAAAAAAAAATCAAAGTATAGAAATTCCATAGCTTCAAACAGACCAAAAAGACAACTATTCGATGTTGTGCTCAACATAAAGAACGCTGGTACAATTTCTTGGCATTTTTTTTTTCATTCTCCAATGTGGATGTTCTTTCTTAAAGGGAACAACCACCTTGCGTTGAAAATTTGATAATTGTGACATTCAGGAAGAAAAAAAATGGTTAAAAATGTATATGCTACTTAATTTTTTTTTTAGTTCATTCATATAGAAGCAATTAAATTTAACCGCCTCTTCTACTCCAACAGCTTCTTCTCTCGCACTTCCCGGCAATGAAACTCCCTTCCTCTTACTTGCTTCCCTGATAATTATAATCTTCAAAAATTTAAATGTAATGTCAATCGACATCTTTTGTTGTCGTGATCCCCGTTCTTCTTTTTATATTTCTCCTTTCCTTTTTTTATCGTTTCCTCACCCCCCCCCTATACTAAGTCTTTCCTCTTACTTATACTCTCTGTAACCCCTTGAGTACTAGTGGCACTCCCACCTTGCTTGGGGATGAAATGCTTAAAAAAAATAAAAAGAAAAATGAGTTAAATATATAATTATTTTATATATATATATATATATATATATATATATATATATATATAGTTAAGTTACGAAGAACTTGTTAAACCGAATGGGTAATTCCAAGGAGGATGAAATCCTGAGAGATCAATGTGAATACAGAGCTAATATTTAATGAAAAACAGACCACTTTAAGGTACCATTACAATAATTTATTTCCCCAAAATCCTTTTTAAAGGACTCCGGATCATCAGGTAACAATTCCAACAACGAAATGAAATGTAATGGTACCTTAAAAGTAGTCTGTTTTTCATTATATATATATATATATATATATATATATATATATATATATATATATATATATATATATATATATATATATATTTAATTTTTCTTTCATCATATAGTAAATCTAAAATTTCCTGTTTTTATTTTTTTGTGAGGCACTTTGTAGAAAGTACGCGTTACGCAAACCTTTTAAGTAAGGGGGGACCTGCCTACTTATCTACAAAATAAGCCTTGAGATTTGTTATTTTTATATATATATATATATTTACCTGGACTCAAACGCCGAACTTTTCGCAAAGACAGAAAGTACATAAATATTGGCTTGGTGCATAATTATCAGACGTTTGTGAAGGCGAGTTATTTGCTAATAAAAATTGCTGTTTTCTTTACTCTTTTAAATATAAATATTATTTTATTTCAGGTTATAAAAAAGAAGTGTCGATAATCATACGCCCTGGAAAAATCATTTAAAAATGTTATTGTTATTTTTTTTTTTCTTTATGTTTCTTTCTCCATAATAAATATTGTCCAAAAAACGCCTGATAATTATGCACAAACTCAATAGTTCAGTCACAAAGCAGTTTATCACACAGTAGCATTTTTAATTTGTCTCTTTCTTGTTCATTATCGATCTGTTGTGGTTTGGATTCTGTTCTAATCGATATTTTCTTCAGCCATTCAAACCCTGTAATTGATATAGTTTCGAATCTTTACGATATCAAAATTAAAAATTCCAGTGCTTGCCAAAAGAAAAACAGTATGACTTGTGGCGTACGTTTATAAAAACCTCGGAGATTACGAATTGTCATGGTGTCAGAAGAGCGCTGAAAAATATTACGCAAGGCATTTCATTTCCCTCCCAATTCAAGGCGATAAAGCCGCTAAGACATAAGGACATGAGATTTGTTTTTAATCATTTCCCTCCCAATTCAAGGCGATAAAGCCGCTAAGACGTAAGGACATGAGATTTGTTTTTAATCATTTCCCACTCAATTCAAGGCGATAATGCTGCTAAGACGTAATGACATGAGATTTGTTTTTAATCATTTCCCTCCCAATTCAAGGCGATAAAGCCGCTAAGGCGTAAGGACATGAGATTTGTTTTTAATCATTTCCCTCCCAATTCAAGGCGATAAAGAGATAATATTTATCCCTTTTTTCTAGCGGAACCCCGAGTCATGCAATTTTGAATAATTTTTGTTTATGTGGTTCTACGGGGATTTTTAGCGGCGCCTACGGGGGCGGGTTGACCCAAGTTAAACTCGGCCTTGTGTCACATATATCCCTCGTTGTGGGGGTGAAGGCTGTTAAATATCAACAGTGAGATAGGCTGAACGCTGGTCAACCAATACACACTCCCAAGTCGTGTAACACACTACTGTTCAATACTCTATTCATCAGCAAACTCTTATTTTGTTATTTCTTAACTAATAAACTTGGTCACACCCGTTTTTCAAGAGGACACTGATGGCCCCGCGAGGAACAGTGATGAATACGCTAATATATTTTTGAGCAATTTTTAATGGGTCGCTGAGAGTCCCGCGAAAAACACTGATAATAGGCTAATGCATTTTTTAAGTAATTTTTGTTTAATTTCATATTTGTAATTTTACTATACACATGTGGCATATTGTTAGAAAATCCTTGGTTATTATAATAAAGCTTTAATACTTTATATTATTTTAAAACTATATTAATCATAGCGATGTCATCATGGCGTCACTGTGAAACCGCCTTCATTGGTTAGTGCGTTTCTCTACCAGTGTTTCCCGGAAGCCTAGGGTTCAGTAAGAGGTCACTAAGGGTCCCGCGAAAATCACTAATAAATAGGCTAATGCATTTTTTAAGTAATTTTTGTTTAATTTCATATTCGTAATTTTACTAAACACATATGATATACTGTTGGAAAATCCTTGTTTATTATGATAAAAGCGCTAATCTCTTATATTATTTAAAATTATAATAATCATAAATAATATTTTTAGCGATGTCAATATGGCGTCAGTGTGAAACCGCCTTCAATGGTTAGTGGACAGGACCAGTACGTGGCGGATTCGTGAATCATTGAGTGACTCACTCGAGTGTAGGACGAGTGTCCATATATTATGTTTACCACGTGAACCACGATGAAAATATAAAAGCGATAAATATTAATAATGGTATAAAACAATTTTGATATAGTGTTTCCCTGAGACATGAAAACTATTTCAAAAGTGGCACAGAACCGAAACCACTTAGAGATGGTATGAACACTAACCAAAATAGAGATGTAACTATCGTCTGGTACATACCAATTCAAACTGACAGAAAAATAAATGTAACTATCGTCTGCGACATACCAATTCAAACTGACAGAGAAATAAAAGCCAACGGAAAAGACTAGAAATTCAGGAAGTGTATGCTTATTGACATGGCTCAACCATCTGAGAGAAACACCTCCATAAAAATTATTGAGAAATTGTCTAAATACAAGGACCTGTAGATTGAGATTAACAGGATGTGGGGAATGAGGACCCAGACTGTACCATTAATAATCGTAGCGCTGGGTCATGTGAGAAAAGGAAGGGACGATTGTACTAACATTTCCCAAGAAAGTTGGATACAAGTTGCCCAGAAAATCGCCCTACTAGGAACATCTCAGCTACTAAGAAATTATCAATTAAATGACAATTCTCCTACAGGGCCTAAGAGCCATAGTTTGGAGGATACAGAGCAGGAATCATAAATTACTCAATTAATAATGATAATAATAATGATAATAATAATAATGATGATAATAAAAGTAATAATTATAATTATAATAATAATAATTGTAATGATAATAATAATGATAATAATAAAGATGATAATAATAATAATTATAATGATAATAATAATAATTATAATAATAATAAAAATGATAAAAATAATGCTGATAATAATAATGATGATAATAATAATGATGATAATAATAATAATAATAATGATAATAATAATAATGATAATAATAATATTTATAATTATAATAATGATGATGATAATAATAATGATAATAATAATAATTGCAATGATAATAATTATAATGATAATAATAATATTTATAATTATAATAATGATGATGATGATAATAATAATGATAATAATAATAATTGCAATGATAATAATTATAATGATAATAATAATATTTATAATTATAATAATGATGATGGTGATAATAATAATGATAATAATAATTTGCAATGATAATAATTATAATGATAATAATAATATTTATAATTATAATAATGATGATGATGATAATAATAATAATAATAATAATTGCAATGATAATAATTATAATGATAATAATAATATTTATAATTATAATAATGATGATGATGATAATAATAATGATAATAATAATTGCAATGATAATAATTATAATGATAATAATAATATTTATAATTATAATAATGATGATGATGATAATAATAATAATAATAATAATTGCAATGATAATAATTATAATGATAATAATAATAATTATAATTATAATAATGATGATGATGATAATAATAATAATGATAATAATAATAATTGCAATGATAATAATTATAATGATAATAATAATATTTATAATTATAATAATGATGATGATGATAATAATAATAATAATAATAATTGCAATGATAATAATTAT